TCACCTGGACAAAAAATTTGCATGTGACGGGCAGTGACACCTAACGCGTTGAAGTATTCAAAAGTAAATTTATTGGGATAAATATTTTACTTATATTCATAAAGCTACAGTGTAATAACTTCCGCAAGTATTTTTTTGTGTGACAACCACTTTGTTCATTGGCAAAGTGAACCGCACGAAGAAGCGAGCATTGTAATTACATTTCTGGGTATCCGAGTACTTGTGAAGGTGAACCACAAGTGACTGTCTATTTTCGGTACTTTGTACGGTTGCACTCGGTGCGGTATTTATTTCAAACTTTCTCTGGTGTGTAAATAGCACTGAACGGGACTGATACTTTATTCTTCCTGTGTTGTCATCCTCATTACCCGGAAAGAGTTCATTCACACTAAAGCATTGCAACCCCTTTCACCACTTCTTCGACATTAACCCTAAATCCAGACTGCGGCTAAAAAGTTTGAAAACGACAGAAAGTCTCCACAAGAACGAATGATTTCGTTCAGTGGCAAACGATAGCCGTTCTTATATTAGTCCATGCACGTTGTGTACTTTCCACCTTTTTCTGTCAAGCCCTAGATTTTCATACAACGTTATTTATTTCCGTCGTAGTTACACAGACACTTGCTTATTTTGATGTTATGTGGTTTCTATTCCCGTTAGTAAGGAACCATTTTCCGTCTTTACCAGAATGGTGTGTGAATAGGCCAGCAGAGGGCGATCAAGACTTGTGTTTGCACATTTTTGTATGGCCTTTCATTAGTGGAATAAGTTAATTAAGTTTTCAACAGAAACAGGACTTGGTCAGCTCAAAATTATGTGATTTTTTTTGATTTGCAAGCTGAGAGTCTTTTTTGAGGGAATTCGTGAAAACAAGCAAAATATTCTGTAATTCCATAATATATTGGCATATTTTCATGAGCAAACAGTTCAACAATTTTGCCAAAACAAAACAAAATACAGTGGCTGCTGAAAATCGTAAACCAGAAACAGAAAATGGTGGAGACATTCAGCAGGACAGGCCGTATCCATGGAGAGAAAACGAGAGTTAACGTGACATTACAGCTCAATGACCTTGAGTCAGAACTCAGTGTGTGATTCGATTATTTAGCTTCTGAAGTTTGCGTTCCTTTTAGGTAAATAAGTAGCTTAAACGTGTTAACATAGAATCACCAAAATAGCTAGATTCATCATATTTCAGTGGTTACACTTTACGATGACAGCGTTGTGAGAAATGAAACTAGATTATGGCTAAACTTTGCAGGCTATGTTCTGTGAGCTGTAAATGATGTTAAACAAAAGTCGAAAGTATATTGTTTTAAAAAGTGAACCTGGAAAATGACGTGAAATTTCAAATTTAAGACAACTTGGTCGAAAAACTAATAGTGACACTAGTTTTTTAATTGAAGCTAAGAAACTAAGTTAATAAATCACTTGGTAAACTGGTTGACAGAAGGAGGCTGGAAGAACACAGCAAGCCAGGCAGCATGTGAAGGAAAGGAGCAGTCAACGTTTCGGGTATTACTCTTCTTCAGTCCTGAAACGTTGACTGCTCATTTCCTCCAAGATGCTACCTGGCTTGTTGTGTTCTTCCAGCTTCCTATTTGTCTACCTGGATTACAGACTATACAGGTTTTTTTTGTTTCTGATAAACTGGTTGCTTTGCTTCTCTTTAGAGCTCCTGGCCTTCCCTGGCGTACTGGAAACGATCATCATTTCGAAATAATACTCAGCAAATAAAAACAAAACTATTTCTATAAATCTCGAAGACGTTTGGGTAATTGGCGCGACCAAAGTCAGTGTTGATCGTACAAAATATATATGTTCACAGGAAATATTATTTGTAATACTTAAAAATGGCCAGGTTTAACTTGTGCCGAAATAAGTTCTTACTATCTTTGACACAAGTTAGTGATTTTGTTTTCATTTACGATATTTCTCATCAAACCACATTTGTGGGACATAGACTCTGTCAACTACGCCTTATGTTATAAAGGTTTAATTATGTTTATTAACAGTTTGGCGAACAATTCAAACTTTTCACGAGTTCTCGTGCGAGTGAACAGAGGAGTCACCACACAAAATAACGTTGTGGTCTTAATATCAGTGATGTAAGGTCCCTTTTTAATAATTTGGCTTTGAAGGGGTAAATACTTATTGCAAAGCTTATGAACTAATTGGTAAAGGCAAGTTAATTTCTTATACCTTAGAGGGTGCTGTACAAACTATTGCTGTAACTTAATGTAATTATAATTATAATCGTTATTAATCCGTTTTACAGTTCACCACATGACATTGCTGTTCTGTCACTGAGGCATCCTGCTAAAGATCGGTATGATCTGTGACATAGAAAATCCTTTTCTAGGTATTATTCATATGTCGTTTTTTAGGACCTGGGCCTGAAATGTCTACGATCACGATAACGATCCTAAATTGCAGTCTTGGTACCAAACTATGGTTGTGCAGAGAAGACTATGGCTAGGAAACACTAAGAGAACGATTAGTAAGATGTCAATAAGAAAGGTTTTGGTAGGCCTTTGAAAAGTTTTTGAAACGGAAATATTGAGCACCGAGGGATTTTACATAGGTACGAAAAGTAACGTCACACATCGAAGTGGTTAAAGGCTACATTTCTCTTTTAGTGATAGCCCGGTTATTAGTGGCGAGAATTCATTCATTTATTCCCCTTTGCTTGACAGGAATGAGTGGAGCGCACTGAAATGAAATAATACATTCCCCTTTTTAACCTATTCAAGGCTCAGGCGCGACAGAGAGGGATTCTGTGTACACAGCAACAAACTGATGAGTTTTATTTCAACAACATTTCATATTTTTTAAAATATTAATATGCAAGGGGCTTGGACTGCAGTGACAGAGGGTGGGTGTTCCAGTGAAGGGAAGAATCTCAAGTGAAAGCTTTTCCCAAAGCACTATCAGAAATTGGTACAAAGGAAGCCCCACACATTCTGCTCCGCCAGATTTTCTTTGCCCGGTATCATTTTTATATCTGATGTCAATTTTGCACAATAAATAGAAATATTGCGAATGAAGACGGTTGGGGTGTAAGTGCCAGCAGCCAGGCTACATGACATGTTGAGGGACTAGTGTTTCATCCAGAATGTCTCCGCTTGGCCCTATTTACAGTTGTTTGTTGGTTCCGTTTGGTTTTAATCAGAACTGACTTGAAACGGCGTCAAACACATATGGTAATAGGGATGGCTAAATTGCTGTACAGAATGACTGGATGGTTACAGTACAGGAAGAGGCCATTCTGCCCATTTTATCTGTCCAGGCCCTGCGCAAGAACAAGTCATCTCCTGTCACTCCCTGGCCCTCTCCTTCCCCACCCCCCTCCACCCACCCCTGCGTCTTTTTCCTATTCCGATAATGATCTAAATTTCCTTTTGAAACCTTAACTGATCCTGCCTCCTCCCCACTCTCAGGCAGGACATTTCAGACCCGAATCCGACACGCTCATTGTAAAAGTTGACCCTTATGTGTCTGTAATTTTTATAAATGGCCTTAAACCTGTGTCCTCTCGTTCGGGATTTTTCTATCAGTGGGAACAATAACTCCACCTGTAATTTGTCCTGGCCCCTCGTGGTTTTGAGTATCTCGCCAAAATCTCATCTCAACCTTTTCCTTTCCAAGGGAAACAGTATACAGTAGCAATATTATGGGCTCTCGGCATTGTACTGGATGAATATTCACCTCCTCTAAACTGCTCCCCCAGCCCCACCCGCTCATGAGTCAAAACAGTTTAAAACAGGAAAATAAAACAAAGAACTGCAGATCTGCAAATCTGAAGCAAAAAGAAGCAGAAAATGTTGGAGAAATTCAGCTGGTCTAGCAACATCTGTGCAGAGAAAACAGAGTTATTGCTTAGTCAAAACGTTCTGAAGAAGGGTCACTGGACCCGAACTCGTGTTTCTCTCTGCTGCCAGACCTGCTGTGTTCTTCCAGCAATTTATTTCTTGTTTCAGGTTAAAACAGTTCTGTTCTGTGGCCAATATTGTATTTAAATAACGTGTGGGTGGATTTTTAAAACGATTTTGGATGAGTCAACCAGCTAAACAGGAGTATGTTTTCCAGTCGAAAATCTGGAGACATATTATGACAGTGGGTTTGTAGACATCCTCAAGTTAGATTTGATCAGAGTCGCGGTTCCCCGAGAGGCTTGTTCTTCCACAACGCTAGCGAGCGGCTCCTTCTTTTGCCGTCGTTATTTAACGGCGATTGCTTCCAGACGACACATAAATAGAGCAGTCAGATTTCAAGTGTCAGGCAATCCGGAACCCGCTTACAGGAAACCACCTTTAGTCAGGGTTCAGGTTCTTCTGCGCTTTTCCGCGCCAGCTCTGCTGCGAGGAGCCAGCCGTCAACAGGAAGAGAGAGCGGAGATGGTGAAAACGAAAAGGCATTCCCGGCTGGCCTGGTCTACCCTTCTCACCAAACCCAACACCTCCGTGAGCTCAGAAATCAGGGAAGGGCCATTTTATTTGAGATAGCTGAATGATAGGGTAACTTCGTGTTACAGCGATCAGCATTGAGCGAGCAGAGAGAGGGGCTGGGAGTTCCCACTGATTCCAGTTCCACACAAGGATGGCTTTGTTCGACAGGAGGATCGGAGCGAGTCTCCGGCTCCAAGTTAACAGCGTGGCAGGCTGCACAGATATAGCCCCTGCACTAAGCAACCAAGTGCTTCATTTCAGGAGCACCTGACACACACTCCCACACTTTTACAACCAGCGCATTTTCCGCGAATGAAGCTTCGCCACCCTCCAGATTATTAAACCCCAGAACCCGGCAAAGCGCGGGAACCACATTTGGGAGACTCGGAAAGATATACCAATGAACCAGAATCCCAATGATGTGCACAACTGTTTGATCAGGCTGACGTGAGAAAAAAAGGAACTGCTGAACGTTTTGTCCAAGAGGAAACAAAGGTTTTACCATCCTGTCTGGGTGTTTAATTTGAAACTTTAACCATGAAGTAAACGGAGACTGAGAAAGGAAGGCGCAGGTTTTGCCGCCGATGTTATGGAAGGACGTATCAAAAAGACTCAGTCTGTAAAATGCCTTATGGCGGGCTCGGTTTCAACATTCTGCAGAAGCCCACACCCCTCCATCAGCCTTTTAAATGCCAATTGAATAAAACCAATTGCACGACTATAACAGTGCTCCTGCAGGTCCACATTCAATCATGTGCACCTCCCGCCCCCACATAACAGTTCAATCTTTACACCGTGCAGCGTCATTCTCCATGTCATTTTATAGGCCGTACTAAACTGGAATTATATATTATGCAGCAACATATCAATTGTCACAATCACGTTCAAATAACTACCACGATTAAAGGGTTGTACGCCCTATATTTTCCATTCCACACGTAATGTACAAGTAACATATCAAAGCGAAACTGAAATAAGGCCCGACAGCTGGCAAAACGGCTAAATGAGAGGTGGATCGGAATACAAAGAATGTCATTCCTCCGAATACGAACGGTTTACTAAGGAAGATAAATTTTGCCGCATGCCAAACACTAATTCAAAATCCTTCGTTTAGCAACAGCAAGATGATCAGGGATTAAAAGAGAATGGGTCGAAGTCAGTCACAGCCAACACGCCAGGCAATGTTACTCTCCATCGTTGTACGAATTACAAATAGACTTCCACAGGAACGTCAGGCATACAGGAAACCACCATTCCACACGAGTATTAACAGTAGATACAAAGCGTAATGGGCAGATGCATATGTGTAATAACCTAGACTATATCATTTTTCAAAGTTATTAATTTTAGTGGAGTAATGAAACTAACGCTAATAGTTTTCATTGCACTCCACCTGCCATGCAATCTTGGTGAATAATCAAAGCAATATACAAATATAAAGAGCTGGCTATCAACAAACTTTTCATTTCAGATCTAAGTCACCACGTTACTACTGCCAATGAACTAATCAGTTACAGAAGGTCACAAAAAAAGTTTAAAGTTGCAGGTCACAGAATATAAAAGAGGCCAGTGGTCAGTGAACCCTGGCTTCACAAATGTCAATGAGAATGTACAGCCTCTCTAACCATAACATAGAAATGGCTTTTTGCAAAATATACCATTTTATTGAGACATGTGAAGCATTGCAACAATAACCATCATAAAAAAAGACCCCAGATACACTGAAATACAACTGGTACACTTCCAGAACATATTTGTAAGGGTGCTTATTTTCATTTTCAAATGATTATTTGATTTTAGATTAATTTGCTTTAAAGGAGAGAAGAGTTAGGAACTTAGGGCATAATTTACTGTAAACTATGTGGGAAATATTAGCAAATGAGTAGATACTTCAAAACTTTAGTAGTAGGAGAACCAAAGATTGAAATAATATCCAGTGTTTCTCAAAGAGCTGGCTGGTAGTTTTCCACTCTTTCCAACAGTGCATCTGAGTATCCAGGAGAATAATATCTGGAAAAAAAAAGATATATTTTATGGTTAAATATGATTCAAGATTAAGGTCGTGTAATTTAATGAACACACAATAATGAACTGTTTCTCTATCCCTCTAACATCCTCCAGCCCTACAACTCTCCAAAACTGTTCTGTTGTTCAATTTTGGCCTCTTGTGATGCCTGATCTCCTTTGGGGATCATGCCTTCAGATATCTGGACCAGAAGCTCCAAAATATCCACTCTGTTTTCCTGCTTTAAGATGCTCCTCAAACCCGCTCTTTAACCAATCTTTCAGCTACCTATCCCAATATTGTGTTACATGTCTCAGTGTCAAATTTTACTCTATGGTGCACCATGGATTTACCACATTGAAGATGCAATAAATTTAAGATGTTATTTCAAAAAATTTCACACACTAAAATCATAGCACAGAGGAAAATACTGCTGAAATATTACTTAATTACTAGTTCTGATTATATTTCAAACCACTTCTAACAATTCACTCACAAAAGTCCAGCAATTGGCACCCAAAAGGCTATTAACATTGCCATCATAGGTTGTTTGGATCACTCTGCATGTACAGTAAAAATCACCAATTCAATCTGCACAGTGCAACCATTAATTTTCAGGACATTATTGATTTACAAATGTCCACAGCAAATATGTCACTTTAGGAAAGTTTTAAATTAAAAGTGAAACAGCTTCAGCACCAGATTTTCAGTTGACAATGAAACATACATCTTCAGTGAAGTAGTTGGAGGTTCAATGGACTAGACAGGATATGTGAAAATAACATTACTAATTCAGTGTACTGACAGAGTTTGGAATACATAAAAAGGAACAACCTGAGAAATTGACCATATAACTAAATGCACAGTGCAAGTTGGTAAAACACAGCTGGAAGCTGATTGGAGACATAGTGCACTGAAATATGTTGACAGTCAAAGGAGACAGCTTCCAATTACTCAATCTCCTCTCAGTGAACTTCCAGCCATGGATCTATTGGATGCTGGGTAGGAAAAGTAAGAGAACAGGAGGAAAAGATCACCAATGTGGTTGAGGTGCAGATCGGCCATAATCTAATGAATGGCCCAAATAGCTGAATGGCCAACAACTGTTCCTAATACTTTTCATCCTCCTAAATGGAAATATTGTCATTTAAGAAGATATACATGTATTGTATCAAACTAAATATTCATTTGGATACATCATTATTTTTCTCAACCCAGCTTAACACGTCTAGCTTATATCTCATTGTTGCTTGTCAAACTGACTTAAGTTTAAAACTTTGGTTTGTATGTGATCTTTCTCTTCCTGAACTAGATATCAGCCATACTTTATTTGCAAGATATTTCTTTAGTGTCAGAGTATTAATTCCACATTTATTGTCATTCCTTCATTTTGCCAACTTCTCCCGAACAGGAGTCTGGCAGCATTTTCATAAAAAAAACAAATCTGAATTTCACTTAAGTCAGCTCAGCTTTAATCCCCTCATTGAAATTTAAGCCATTAGTCTTGGACCCAACCTTCTCTCCCTCAAACTGAATGTAAAACTGAATCATATTATGATCGCTGCTAACAAGTGGTGCCTTCACAATGAGGTCATTAATTGGATGGCAGATGGACCATGATGAGGGGAAATGTAAAGTTGTGCACTTTGGCAGGAAGAATAGAGGAGCGGAATATTATTTAAATAGAGAAAGACTGAAAAAATCTGTAAAATAGAGGGATTTGGGAGTCCTCGTGCATGACGCATAAAAAGCCAGCATTCAAATTCAGTGGGTGATATGGAAGGCAAATGGGATATTAGCAAATATTTCTAAGGGAATGAAGTATAAACATAAAGAGATTTGCCAAAACTATACAAAGCACTATTCAGACCACAGCTGGAATATTGTGAATGACTTTGGACCTCTTGTCTGAGGAAAGATATACTAGCATTTGAGGCAGTCCAGTGAAGATTCACTAAGCAGATCCCAAGGATAACTGGACTATTTTAAGAGGAGAGGTTGTGTGGATTGTGTCAGTATTCATTGGAATACAGAAGAATGAAAGGTGATCTTATTGAAGCATATAAGATTCTTAGACGACTTAACAGGGAAATGTAGAAAGGTTGTTTCTCTTTGTGGAAAAGTCTAGGATGAGAGGGCACATATTGAAGGGAGATAAGGAGGAATTTCTCTCAGAGGGTTGTGAATCTGTGGAATTCTTTCCCATAGAAGGCTAATAAGTCTTGGTCATTAAGTATATTCAACGTTGCAATTTTAATCAGTAAAGGAATCAAGGAACATGGGGAAAAGGCAGGTAAGTAGAGTTAAGATTATGAGATCAGCCATGATCTCCTTGATAGTCAGAGCAGACATGATGGGCTAAATGGCCTACTTCTGCTCCTATGTATCTTATGGTCCTACAGCCTTAATCCTATCTCATTGTACAATCTAAGACCTTGTACAGCTTGCTTCAGTTTGGCCTCAGAACATGATTCTTTCCAAAAACATTCTTTGAACTCAAGGGTACCTTTGGTCATCTGATTTTTCCTGTTTATATAAAAGAGTAAAATCCTCCCTGATTATCGCAGAATCTTTCTGACAAGTTTCATGCTTTCTGATGCAAACAGACAAAGGTGTCAGCAAGAGCTAGGTCCACAAAGGATCTCACGGTAACACCATCTGTTTGGGTGCATGTAGTGTCATTGAAACTGAACTGTGCAAGTTGCTAAATCCATGAGGTCAGTGAAAATAGATTCAGACGCTGGCAACACAACTAGATTGCCATGATATAGTGATCCAGTGCAATGTCAATGGCTTCCTTGAGTGGTATGCTAGTGAATAAGCTACAAGTGCATATCATGTAAACTCATGGAAGGGCCTAAGGCACCCACTTTTGACCCTGAATGGCGTTCAAGTTCTCCACCTAAGATTACACTTGACAGGGAACATTTCTTAAAACTTTGGAAGCCAGCTATCTCATGTTACAAGTTTGGAGGAAATGCACAAGTGGTATTCTCCACCAATAGGATGTTGCCTACCCCTGTTAAGACCAGGTGAGGGTCGGGAGGGTGAATTAGCTCCCATCTTTTGAACGTTCCCACTGGCTCCAATAAAAATTTATGTTCTTTTAGCATCTCCCCAATTAAAATAGATAATTAAATTCTACTGTTTCAGTAAGGAGTCAATCACGAGGATTTCTTGAGCGAAAAGTGAACATATTATTACTAGCTAATCCAGTGAAAAATAAAAATCTGACATGAAACATACATACGCACAGGTACAAAGTTAAAAAGAGACAGTATCAATTACAAAAGGAAGATCAAAGCAATATACAGTTTAAAATCTTTTGGAGTCCTTGAGGTTCAGTGTTTTGATCAAAGAGTCTGGTTATTGGTGTCTTGGATTATCAGCAGTAGCAATTATTTCAGGTATCTTTTAGAGTTCTTGGTGTCTGATGTTTCTTTTGAATGCTATTGTCATTGGGTACTCTTTCTTCTTACAGTCAGAGAGAGAGAGAAAGAGAGAGAGACAGAGCATTCCCTAGTCATTCAGTTCTGTAATCCAAAATCCATTTCCTCTCTTTGCTAAAAGCAGTTTCTTGAAATTTAATCAGAGGTAGTAGGAACTGCAGATGCTGGAGAATCCGAGACAACAAGGTGCAGGGCTGGATGAACACAGCAGGCCAAGCAGCATCATAGGAGCAGAAAGGCTGACGTTTCGGGCCTAGACCCTTCATCAGCTTTTCTGATGAAGGGTCTAGGCCCGAAACGTCAGACGTTCTTGAAATTTAAGCTTGTTACGTATTTCTATGTCTGAGTTCATTGTCTTCAAGTTTGATTATTGCCATTGTTGCTTTCATCTCCAATATGCAAACATTTTCATCAAGGTGTAAACTAAAAATTGGAGAAAAGTGTCTTTTAAGCCTCCACTGGCATGGGCTGACTGGCATCTTTCTTTGAACAAAATGTTAAGTTAGGTTTAGCTACCTGTTGTGTAATCCATATTGAAATTTGACAACTTGTGGTCAGGTGATCCCTTTGGCCATTTTACATCAGTGTTTTAGAGATAGTAGGAACTGCAGATGCTGGAGAATCTGAGAATAACAAGGTGTAGAGCTGGATGAACACAGCAGGCCAAGCAGCATCAGAGGAGCAGGAAGGCTGACGTTTCAGGCCTCGACCCTTCTTCAGAAATGGGGGAGGGGAAGGGGGATCTGAAATAAATAGGGAGAGAGGGGGAGGCGGATAGAAGATGGATAGAGGAGAAGATAGGTGGAGAGGAGACAGACCGGTCAAAGAGGTGGGGATGGAGCCAGTAAAGGTGAGTGTAGGTGGGGAGGTAGGGAGGAGATAGGTCAATCCAGGGAGGATGGACAGGTCAAGGGGGCGGGATGAGGTTAGTAGGTAGGAGATGGGGGTGGGGCTTGAGGTGGGAGGAGGGGATAGATGGGAGGAAGGACAGGTTAGGGAGGTGGGGACGAGCTGGGCTGGTTTTGGGATGCGGTAGCGGGAGGGGAGATTTTGAAGCTTGTGAAGTCCACATTGATACCATTGGGCTGCAGGGTTCCCAAGCGGAATATGAGTTGCTGTTCCTGCAACCTTCGGATAGCATCGTTGTGGCACTGCAGGAGGCCCAGGATGGACATGTCATCTGCAGAATGGGAGGGGGAGTTGAAATAGTTTGCGACTGGGAGGTGCAGTTGTTTAGTGCGAACCGAGCGTAGGTGTTCCGCAAAGTGGTCCCCAAGCCTCCGCTTGGTTTCCCCGATGTAGAGGAGGCCACAATGCGAACAGCAGATGCAGTTTACCACATTAGCAGATGTGCAAGTGAACATCTGCTTGATGTGGAAAGTCTTCCTGCGGCCTGGGATGGGGGTTAGTGGGGAGGTGTAGGGGCAGGTGTAGCACTTCCTGAGGTTGCAGGAAGAAGTGCCGGGTGTGGTGGGGCTGGAGGGGAGTGTGGAGCAGACAAGGGAGTCACGGAGAGAGTTGGCCCTCCAGAAAGCAGATAAGGGTGGGGAGGGAAA